AAATGTTCCCAGAGGGATGTCAATTGTCACACGGTAGCACCCATCACTTGCCTCCTCAACAAATCAATCAGTCTTATCACAAGAAATTCCTCAGGAAGCAAGCTTTGAGTCCAAAAACAAAGAAGGATTCTCACAAGATGTCATTGTAAAGCCGCTGTATAATAACTTTAATTGTGGCAAGTGGGACAAGAACACGAAGACTGGAGGAAAATGAATGTCATTATTTTCTTCAGGAAAGGCAAATAGGACAACTTGGGGAACCGTAGTCTGTCCAACCTCGCTTCTGTCTCAGGGACGGTGATAAAGCATCTAATTGTGGAATTCATTCTAGGCTCGTGAAGGAGAACAAAGTCATAGTAGCCAGCATGGTTTAGGTGACTACCAGAGTGCTGTCCTAATGCACTGATATTTAGAGAGTCTTCATTTTTTTTCCTCGTGCTGTGATTAATTTTGTTCTCAATAATTAATTTTGAACTAAATGCAGTATTTTCTTTTTGTTCCCTGTTTAACGTTTCTATGTGTAGTTAGGACACTCTTTAAAAGATTGGTTTATTCCCATTGGGATGATCATCTGAGAGTACACATTGCCTTTATTTTTTCCCCAGTTCTCTCCTGTATCCTGCTGAGAGTAGGGTCTGAGGGAACAACTCTGTGGTGCTTAACTTGTCTACCTAGTTAAATCACAACACGGAATATGCATTTAAGATGCCAAACCATATATACATAATAAACATAACATAAATTATAATAAAATCTCTGTAGACATCTTAAATGCAATAATATTTGAGAGATGGACAATGGAAGACGCATACTTCTCCTCTGTTAACAAAATACTAAGCTAGGACTAATTTATTCATAATAACATGATTTCATTAATAGTCTCCATTCATGAAAGCAACCTGTATCATTCTGCATTTCTGTGTTTTCTAGTACACAAAATAAACATCCTAGCAGAACATGAGTAGCTTATGCTTGTACGATTTTCATAGCCTTGCTCAGATTATTTATAAAACACTAAGTATTAGCAATGAAATGATGTAACATCCGGGGCTCTATTGTATAGGTAATTGTTTTAAAATGTATAAAAACATTTTTAGTATTATTATTAGTATTATTAGTACACTTAGTATTATTAGCTTATTAGTAGTGCTTAAGGTAAGTTTGACAATTTCACAATATATTGCAAGATTAATACTTAAGAAATATGCATTTATTCAACTTTAAAAAATACTCTTAGGGATATAATGTGTAGTTCATAGAATCACCAAGGTCGGAGAAGGCCTCCAGGATCATCTGTCTGCTTACCAATATTTCTCCACTAAACCATGTCCCTTAGCACAACATCTAAATGTTTCTTAAGCACCTCCAGGGATGATGGTTCAACTGCCTCCCTGGACAGTGCATTCCAACCAGACCTCTCTTTCAGAAGAAATCGTTCCTAATATCCAACTGAATGAGGCCAGGATGCAGACCTGAGAGTCAGAAGTTCGCATTCTATTTTTGGATGTGCCAGAAGGCATTTCCTAAAATTATCAGCATCTATATTTCTTTTTTTTTCCTCCATCCCTTTTGTTGTATATTTTGAAACTCAAAAGAAAGACAAGAAATTATTTTAGAGAAGGGTGTCACCATCCATTTAGGGTTGTATCCTGACAGCTGAATAAAGTAATACAAGTTAATTCAGTATTTTCAGGTCTTGAAATCTTATTCCATTTTAAACCAGTTCATTCACATCTATCCACATGGCATTATATTAACAAAAATACAGAAAACTCTGATTTTTTTCCCATGGAATTATTCTACAGTACTGCTGATTTGGACAAAATCAGCAGATCAGTCTGGATTTTACTGCAGAGTCCTGTACCATCAGCAACAATGTCATGCCTTCAAATTTTTTTTAAGCCAATAAGTTTCCAGCAATTGATGATAAAGTATTTAAAGTGAGAATTCATGAAAATCTTCTCTTCGGAAGTCTCATATTTCATTGCTAATCTAGAGAGGGATAAAATTGTATCTATTTCTATTCCAGGACAGAAAGAACTGCTGAAAATTCTGATGAAGTCAATTAGATTCTGTTAAGGAGTTCTACGAAGTAGTACTCATATGAACTCCTTTATAATTAATGATTATGATTTTTTTAAATGGGATATCTGGTGGCTGGGGGAAGCATCAGCTAAAAGCAGTAAAATACATGGTGCTCAACTGAAAAAAATTTCTCCTCTGTAACATTACAACAATCAAATATTTTTCCAATGATGCCAATACAGTGAGAACAACAATGTTAAATCCACTGTTGCATGAAATAACAAAATTTATTCAGGCAATTTGTCTTCAATCTGTTGTATGAATAATATATAGATAAAAAGATGGGCATGAATCTTGAGAAGGATGACTGGAGACAACTTCCATGATGTTTCAAGATTTTTTGTCTTTAAAAACTAGCTCACAAATCTACATACTAGAGGTAGGCTGTCCAGTGGAAAGAGTTAGATTTACCACCTGTTTGTTTTCTTTTTGGCTTTTGTTTGTGGCTTTGATGTGCAACTTGGCCTGATGCCTACTGTCATATATAAAATTAACATACTCCATTTGCATTCAAGGTTGTATTCCAAGTTTTGGACCTAATGTTTTACTGGAAAATCCTTATTGAGGCTATTATATTGGCCTTGATTGTTGCTGTATCATTTTCTTTTTTGAAGAATACATATGCTTCTGTTTTTCTGAATCCATTCTATT